CCCCGCCTCCCTGCCCGCTATGGCCGCGCCCCGGACCCCGCGGAGCCCCCGCACCTTGGCGGCTGCCGCGCCGGCGCCCGGAAAGGCCAAGTTGACGCACCCGGGGAAGGCGATCCTGGCAGGTGGGCCCCGCCACGGACCCCGGTCTACTCCAGCCGCTCTTGCTTCTTGGTGGGCCCCTCATGCGAGGCCCCGCCCCACTTCCGGGTTGGGCGGGAGGCCGGGCGGGGGCGCGGCTCCGGGCCCAGGAGCGCGGGCCTCCGCGCGGGGCCCTTAGAACGCTGGCCCGCAAGGGCCGAAGTCTTCGCGGGGGAGGGGCGGCCCGGCGGCAGGGCTCAAAACCCGGTCCCCGTAGGCGGCCTGGCGGGCGGCATCGAAATCTGCATCACGTTCCCCACCGAGTACGTGAAGACGCAGCTGCAGCTAGACGAGCGCTCACACCCTCCGCGGTACCGTGGTATAGGTGAGGAGAGGCGCGGCGGGCAGGAGTGCGGAGGGGCTGGGCGGGGCTGTGCCGCGGGGGGCGCTGACCACCCCTTCCTCCCCCAGGGGACTGCGTGCGGCAGACGGTCCGTAGCCATGGCGTCCTGGGCCTGTACCGCGGCCTCAGCTCGCTGCTCTATGGCTCCATACCCAAGGCGGCCGTCAGGTGAGGCCGGGTCTGGGCGGCGCGAGAGGGGCCCGGCTGGGCGGTGTCCGCCTCACACACCCTCTCGCCCCCAGGTTCGGCATGTTCGAGTTCCTTAGCAACCATATGCGCGACCCCCAGGGACGGCTGGACAGCACGCGCGGGTTGCTGTGCGGCCTAGGCGCCGGGGTGGCCGAGGCCGTGGTGGTCGTGTGCCCCATGGAGACCATCAAGGTGGGGAGGGTCGCGGCGCGGGGCTGGGAGCTGCAGGGGGGCGCTGGGACAGGAGGTGGAGGAAGGGCCTCCTTGTGCGCTTGAAGGGCACATGGTCAGGTGGAAGATCTAAAAGTTTCTAAAAAATACTGTCATACACAAAGCATAAAATAACACGTTTACTGCTGAAACTGGAAAATATCTGCAAACATAGCTGCAGATTCTGTCACAAGGTGGGCCCCCTCTTTGTTTGTGTCCTCACTCTGTTCTGTGTTCCAGGGTGACAGAGCAGTGCTGTCTCCAGGTGAAAAGCTGGATCTAATCCTGGCCTGACCTTAGGCTCAAGGGGTCAGGTTGGCTGCCACCTGGTTGCCAGGGGCAGCCCTTGGTGACCTCGGGACCAATACCTTTGCGTTTTTCTCAGGTGAAGTTCATCCATGACCAGACTTCCTCCAAACCCAAATACAAAGGATTCTTCCATGGGGTCAGGGAGATTGTGCGAGAGCAAGGTAAGCCAGTCGGGTAGGGTCAGGGACCTCCCTGGCCAGAGGAGGCTGCACCCTCACCACTCTGGGCCTGGGGGGGCACCAGTGTGACCCCCTCTCTGCTCCTGCCCCAGGGCTAAAGGGCACGTACCAGGGCCTCACAGCCACTGTGCTGAAGCAGGGCTCCAATCAGGCCATCCGCTTCTTTGTCATGACCTCTCTGCGCAACTGGTACCGAGGTGCGTCTGCCACCCCCACCCCCAGACACTCGAACTGCACCCTTCCCGTCTGGGCCCCCCTGGCCAAGGCCCTGCACCCCAGGGGGCTCCCATCTTCCTAGCCCTGGCCCAGGCTCCTCCTTACTCTGCTCTGCCACCCCTCAGGGCTCTGACCCGCTTATTCTTCAACACCCCTTGACTGCAACCCCTACCCCTGCCCAGGGGACAACCCCAACAAGCCCATGAACCCGCTGGTCACTGGTGTCTTTGGAGCTATTGCGGGTGCCGCCAGTGTCTTTGGGAATACTCCGCTGGATGTGATCAAGACTCGGATGCAGGTAGGGGTGGGGAGGGGATGAGGAGTGGCTGCAGCGGGAGGGGAGCAAGGAGAGGGCTGGCCACTGAGCAGTACTTGCATCCTGCAGGGCCTGGAGGCTCACAAATACCGAAACACCTGGGACTGTGGCCTGCAGATCCTGAGGAATGAGGGGCTCAGGGCGTGAGTGACAGGGGAGAGCTGTTGTCCCCACCCCTCCCTGGCTGTCTACCTGGACATTACCCCAAAGCCCACCCCGTCCGCACCCTGGGAGCTTCTTCCTTCTGTTCCTTCTCCTTCCCTGCAGGAACACTGTCCTTGTCTCCACTTCCTCCCTTGCTTACCGCATGCCTCTCCCAGGTTCTACAAGGGTACTGTTCCCCGCCTGGGCCGGGTCTGCCTGGATGTGGCCATCGTGTTTGTCATCTATGATGAGGTGGTTAAGCTGCTCAACAAAGTATGGAAGACGGACTGAGCCCAGCGTCTGCGTGGGGACCCCGAGTGCCTCCAAACCAGCCCGTGCATCTCACGTGATTCCGGTGCAGCGTGCCAAAAGGCCCCTCCCTGTGTCCTTCAAGCTTTGTGGCCTGTGATCTGGCCTGTGTCTGTCCCTGTGGCCCTCGAGTCCATGTGTCCCATAGTAGTGTGTGCTCTGTGGTCTGTGTGTGACACTACCATTGTGTCCAGCCAGGCCGTGGCTGGATGTTTCTGTGCCCTGTGAATCTGTGCCCACATCTCCTATGTGCTTGCTCCTGAGCTGTGTGCCTATGTCTTGTGTGCCATGTTATGTGACCCCGTGCCCCACTTCCCAGGGTACCCATGTGGCCTGGGTCTACGGCCCCTGTAGCCATGGCCCGGTCCCAGTCCGGTGCCTTCCACCCCGGGTGGTAGGGGCACCCTGCCCCAGCCTACCACAGCTGCCTCTGGGCCTCAGCCTGGCCTCAACCGCATTCCAGGGGCTGTGTGCCCCCGGCTTCTCCCGCCACTGGCCTTAACTGGCCCTCGGGCCCTTCCTCCGCCCAGGACAGGGTGGCACCTGCCACTCCCAGGACCACCCTCCCAAGGCAAAATAAACCGGATCCTGTTTCAGCTTCCTGCTCCTGCTTTCCCGTGTGGGCAGTGATAGCCATGCTCCTTGAAAACAATGACGAGGTGGGGGGTGGACACCGGGGAGGGCAGGATCAGGTCCCAGAGAGCCCCAAGCCAAGGAGGGTCTGGGCTCTGCCAGGCTCTCCCTGTGACCTGGTGGGCACAAGGCCAGGAGATGGCCTGGTAGGCAGCACCAAGTGGTCCATGGAGGGCTGGCTCATGTTCTGGGGTAAAGCCCAGGGGGTTGGGTTGGCCTTTGGCCTACTATGTAGCCATCTGCTCATCTTCCTCCATGCTTCTATGAAGGGCTGTTAGGGACAGGAGAGAGGGAAGTGCTTGAGGCTCTGAAATCCAGCCAGTGCAGTGTAGGTGCACCCAGCTTCTGGTTCCGAGGCTTTGAGTTGGCCTTTCCTTGTTCTTTCACCCAGGCTGGGCATCAGCTCCCTTGGGACCGGAGGGAGCCAGGCTGCCTGGCGGGGCCCTAGGATCCTCACCAGCAGCCCTGAACCTCAGAGAAGGTGGACCCCGGATGGAGCCCACCAGGGACCAGGCCCAGGTGCAGAGTCAAGCTGGTGGGGCCCTGTGGCCTTGGACCCTCCTCCCCATCCCAAGTCATGGCAGAGCCAGGTCTATAGCACAAGGGCCTGGATGTGTGAGAACAGGCATCTTCATGTCCAAGTGACTCCCTGGGGGAAACATCGGGAGGAGGACTTGGCTTAGATGAGGAATAGCCTCATCTTTGGGGAGGGCCACACCACTTCCTGCGACACTGCTCCCAGGAGTGATTGCCACTTGGGCTGCTGTGCTGCAGGGGGAGAGTCTAAGGGTGCAGGACTTCTGGGTGCTGCTGTTGGGGCTGGCCTGCTGGCCATTCCACGCTCCAGGACACTTCCAGCCCTGGCTGTGATGGACATGGAAGGCCTAGGCAGCAAAGCTGGCCCACGAGTTCCTCATCTATAGAATGGGGAGGAATAAGAAAACCCACCTCATTGGGTCATGAGGATAAATGATGTAATCCTACCAAGGGTTTAGAACGATGCTTAGCTCACAGAGAGCCTTCCTACATGTTAGCTTTTTGCTTTAGATTGTGGGAAGTTGTTTGCAGTGTCCAGCGTTCTAGGCGGTTCCTAGAGCTGGAAAAGGCCAGCAGCTGGGCCCCCTTCACAGGGACGAGGGGCCAAGGCTGCCCTCTGCTTACAGCAGAGCAGAGGATTTCCCTGGTGGCCCATCCTGACTATAAGTGCTGATCGAGCTGGAGCATGCCCATGGAGCTGTGAGCGTGGAAGAGCTCCTCCCTTCCTCCCCTCCCCCCAGCCTACACAGTGGTCCATTTTACAAGTTACCTGAGGAAGCTGAGGCCTGAGGGAAGGGAAGTGAGTAACCTGAGATGCCCCCAGGTTCTGGGAAGGTAGCATGGCTGGAGGGAAGAGAGCTGGTAGGGCCCAGAGGCAGCTGGGTTGCATCTAACCAAGGCCTGGAAGGTTGCAGAGGGAAGGCCGATGGTGGGACCAGCGCAGACGGGGGCCACTGGTGCCAGAACCAATGCCTGCCTGTGCGGTTATGGGGCAGAGGGTCAAAGAGCTGTGGGTGGATCTTTGAGTGAACTAGCAGGCCTGAACTTCCAGAAGGGATGCTACCCTAAGGCACAGCCACAGCCAGCTCCACTCAGCTTCAGGCCTGGGATCGTCATAGGGCTCTGTGCCCAGGAGAGACAACAGCCTCAGAGAGGAGGGCAGGGGAGCAGAGGCGGTGGCTTCTCCTGGGGGAGGGCTTGGCTCACCTCCAGCCCCATCCTATTGTGGGGCTGAGGACGGGTGTCCTGCCCTCTGGTCCCCCAACCTGGGCCCTCGAACCCTCTCTCTGTCCCCAGCTGCACAGGTGTTCCCTGGGTTTTCCATGTCCCTTGTGTAGACAAATTGTAATCAGAGCTTAGTATCCAAACAAAACCAATCTCTCCTGACAAATGGGACTTTCAGCCAGCAAAGAGAATTCTGATTTTCGGGTTGTGTCTCAGTCCTCACAAGAAACACGATCTCAGCTGAGAATATGTGTTCCTCTCTGACTGTATTTCCTAAGTGTTTTCACAGACTTCATGGACAAAGGTCTTAAGTAAGGGGCACAGAGTCGAGGGATCAGAGGAGCTCCTGGCCTCCTCAAGACTTGGGAACAGTGACTGGGCACACCAGGGACAAAGATGGAGACAGCACAGGGAAGGGCATGGATAACATGGAGGAATAGAGAAAACATGGGAACTGTCCATAAACATGGCCTGGGCGGATGACATAAGGGGTGTGCTACATTGGACAATGTGGAAATGTGGCTTTTGCTGTCCACCCAGAGACGTGGGATGGACAACGTCGCAAAGTGGAGGACAGAATTGGCCTGAACAGCTGATGGAAGGGCTGAAGAGAGCACTCAGGATCGTGTATAAATGTTGTCTAAGCCAACAATGTGGGGGACACTCAAAAAACATGGTGGCTGCTAGTGTGGCCCTGTAGCTCTCCTCCCACACCCACCTGGCAAATACCCCTCCCCCTGAGCAGCCTCCTCTCTACTCAGGTTGGACTAGGCCCTGACCCCTGACCCTCCCAACCTGGCCCTATCAGGGTGTTGTCACATTTTCCCCTCTACCCAGTTGGCCACACCCACCACCCACTTACTCCTCCATTGGCCTGACCTTACCTGGGAGATCCCACGTGGCCACATGGGTGTCATCTCCTGAAGCGAACTCAAGGGATAAACCATCTCACTCCCTCTCTGCCCCCAAGCTCTGCTCAAATGTTTCCAGTGCAGCTCACTAGCCCCCAGATCAACCCAGCCCCTGACTAGCGGAAAAGCACTGCCTCATGAAGCTACAGGACCCTGGGCAGTGTCCACCCGCAGACGGGCTGGGGCGGTTGCAGCTCCCCACGCAGGAGGGCACTCCAGGAGCCCCACCTTCACCCCGTGCGGATGCCCTGCCGATCCCCCCTCTCTCGGTGCCCGGGAGGCTCCCCAGAGTTGTAATGACAGAAAGGTAAACAAAATGCCCGCGATTGTGATTCGGGGGCACACCCTGCGAGTCTGACAAGGTCCCGGGTGAGGTGTGCCGGCCAGGGCCGAGGGGAGGGTCGACTCTGGGAAGGGACGGGGCCCATGGCCACTCGTTGCGCCCCGGGGGGGGGGTGCCTCTCTCAGCACCCCTCTCCCGCCGTGGAATCCAGAGATGGGGGCATCCCGGGGCCCATTGTGAAGGACAAATCTGTTGTTCTGGCCTTGGGGACAGGCAATCCAGACGGGATGGCCGAAGCAAAGGAGGGGGGCCCGGGCCGGGACACGCCGAGACACTTGGGTTCGGATAAGTGGCGGCCGAACCAAAACACATTCGGGACACAAGCCGAGACCATCAGGGGCCGGGACGCTCGCGCCCGGAAGTTGGGGCGGCGCGCGCTGATGGCGTCACGGGGGCGCGGCCGGCCGGCTCCGGGGATCTGGACGCTTAGGCGTCCCTCGGCTGGCCGCGCTTTGCCGGCTGCCTCGGGGACCCCGGGCTGCGCTGCTGTGGCCCAGGTGTCCTCACCGCCAAGGCTTCAGCCCTCTGTCCGAGTGGCTGGGTCTCTAGGGCCCCTCGGCGGTCACTGCCATCAGCCCCTGGTCTTCAGATTTGAAGGCGAGTCCTCTGACCTCGCACGCAGCGCTTCCCCAACACTCGACCTTTGGCCGGCTCAGCCACCATCGTCACGCTCCTCGAGTGACTGATGGCGCCTCCTCGTTCAGACCTGCCCCGACGACCGGCTGTCCCACGCTGCAGACTGCCAAGGGCCTCTCCTGCCACGCCAGCCTGAAGGGACACTCCCCGGCCCTGCCCCACCCCCTACAACCAGACTGGACTTCTCTCGCAGTCGCTGTCTCACCCCCAGACCGTTGCATAGGCTGTTGCCTCTCCCTGGAACACTGTTCTCCACTCTCCAGCTTTACCCTGTAATTCGCACTGTCCTTCAGGACCTGCCTGACCCACATGCAGTTGGAGGAGGTGTTCCTCTCACCTCGTTATCTTCCTGTGTCCTCATATCCAGCCTCCCAGAGGGCAGAGCCTGGGCCTGTAACCCCTCCACGTGGCCTGGGCCAGGAGTCTATTGATCACTGCTAAAGGAAGGAAGGAAGACTTTCAGGTTGTCTTTTCTTCACCCTGTATCTGTCCCAGTGTCATCAGTCTGAGCCTTGGACAGAGAGAGGGGAGGGTCCCCCCTTCCCTCTAGCCTGGCCAGTTCTGGTCCAGCTACCTGTTGCTGCCCCTTGTCTCCTGTAAGGCACTTTGGCCTTGCCATGTCCCCTTGAAGGAGGCGACTGGGGAAACCCTGTGGTGCAGGGACATAATCTAAGTTGGTGGGGTGGGGTCAGTAGCAACCTAGGAGAAGTGGGGGCGGGGTGAGGGTGTCCCTGCAGAGGGCAGCAGTAAGCACAGGCTGTGACTGACACTGAGGCCCCCTGGCTGGGCCCTTCCTCCTCTTATCAACCCCCATTTCTCAAATGGGAAACCCCAGGCAGGTCCCAGGACCTATCTGAGACCTATGGAGGCCCAGGTCTGCCCAGCCCCATCCTGTCCCACCTTGTGAGAAGATAAGGGGTGAGAAAGGGGGCTCAGAAAACTAGCTCAGGGGTGGGGGAGGCAGCAAGTGGCACCACATCAGCCCTGTCAGTGAGCTGATCAACAAACCCACCCCCAGGGTCTGGGTCCATACCCTGGGAGGAACCCCAAGGCAAAGATGGAGGGTCTGCATTTGTGGCCCGTCATTGGCCTCCATCGGCACCCATGAGTCCAAGACCTGCTTGCTTTCTGGCCCAGCGGGACGGGGAGGGGTGGATGCCTGGCTAAAGAACCCAAGCTTGATGGGAAGGCTGACACCCAGGCCAGAACTGGGCAATCAGAGCCCAGGCAGGAGCAGAGGCCAGCAAGGTTAACAGCACCCAGGGGCAATCTCTAAATTTGCGTGCCCCACGGGGTGAGGGTGGTTGTGGGGGTGATGCGCCGGCCGGCCTCTTCTGGAGCCCCCTTCGACTTGCCCCGGGGACAAA